AAAAAATTAGAAAGAATAATTATTATTAATAAAATAAATGCCTCTTACTACAATTTGCATGAATTCATGAAATATGGCAAGTGAAAAATTTCTATTCTCGGCGAATATCTCACGATAGACACCTAAACTTATTTAATGTATATGATAAGGCATCGAGCACTTAATATGATAATATATAATATTCACTATTATAAACATGCGATATAAATGCTACAATACCTAATACAAAATGTTTTTGTAGTTTTTCATTTATAAATAATAAAATACTACCGCTACACTAACTTCTTAAATCCGGTTTGTTAGAATTTTGAAAATACAATCACCAAAATGGTGATTTTTAGGCACTTGCACAGCCGGAGACATTATTAATAAAATAATTAAATAATATGTAAAAAGATTCTTTGATTAATGAATAAATAATAATAGTTTCGTCGATATCGATTCATTGAAATAAAGCTTTTCATAGTCAAGTTAGACAAAGGGCATCTTAGAACAAAAAAATCTTTCAAAAAAATAAAAAAATACTAAAATTTGAAAATCTACTTCTAAAAATATTATCGATTATAGTCTGGTTATATCTGTGTTTTTTTAATAATAAATATGAAGCACGTTCTGCAATAATTCAGACCAATTTTTAGGTCAATTCTAATTATAGCAATTTTAGGTCTGACCACGAAGCCTTGTGGAACGCCGGTAGTAAAAAAATACCAGAAGTCAATCGTTGTTTAAAATTCATTAGTATCAAATCTATTTTATGATCTTTTGATTAAGGATAAAAATTTAATAATAACACTATAGTGTTAAACGTGATAAAGGCCCGCAAATGAGACCTTGCGGCTCGCCCAATCTCATAGTAGTGTTTGGTCGCCTTGAAATTGAATTAAACTGTCTTAAAAATGTTAAAAAGTCATTGTATATACTTTGGCCAATTACATTTAAATCCTATATTGTTCTCGTGACGAGGGAAATAATTCCGAATAATTTACTTAATTATATAACATGTTGGGTCATCATAAAATTTTTCTATATCAACTTTGTATGAGTGGTAAACGTAATATTTTAATACACGTATCAAAACAAGAAAAGGAATAAATTGGAAAAACATTTATGATTTCTAATAAATAGTAAAAATGTCAAAACATAAAATCAAAATTAAAAACAGATATTTCACAAGTAGTCTACAGTAACGAATAAAACTAAAATATATAATCTGTATATTTTTATAAATGTTGTCTCCGGCTGATAATTATTTTTCATAAACGTTGTATTGATTCATATGTTTTATAAATTACCTAAACATATCCAATATATTTAGGAAAAAGCTATAATTTCTATAATCTATCAATATTAAATAACATATGAACGATCTATACCTATGTAGGTGGTATTTACTTTAACTTTACATCGAAATATAAAATAAATATATTAAGCGTTATTTTTAAACGAATTGAATTTAAATTTTCAACAACACTGAAATGGAAAAAATATTGTTTCAGTGATATTGAAAATCTAAATAAAAAAATAAATATTTTTTGTGTGCAGATATAGAGATCTGTAAACACTTATCAATGTCGAAATTTCTTCGCACATTTTGTGGTAATTAATATGCACTTGTTTGCATTTTAAAATATTTGAAATAAGTGACTAATTAAAAAAAGAGTCACTAATTTTTCTTGGATAACACGTATGTCTACCGAGAAAATTATTCAAATGCGTCGACGATCTGGCTCGAAGGACTAGATCGTATTTTTCGCTAGTTTAATAGTTTTTTGTTGAATTTAATGCTATTTACGTGTTCCAAATATACATCTAAGATTTTAGCATAAATTGGCTAAGTTTCAGAACAAAACATAGATCAGAACAATAATCTTACGAACTGAAATATCATTCTGTCGATGGTACATAAATATGGACCGTTTGAATAGACTTTATTTGATTCACATAAATCTTGTGAAATTAAATAAATATTTTTATATATTTCGTAAGAAAAACTATGCATTTATTCTTTTCACTGTCTTTGATTTCAAACGGTCCTTTTAACTCTTTTATATTCAAAATTTTAAAACTGACATTTTCACATATCTAGGCCTTATGAAAAACATTTTCTCACCCATTACTATTTGCTACTATACACGTAATATTTTAAGGCGTATCGATTCATTCTTTAATCTATACATAAAAGAATTTTTTTTTAATTTTAACTAAAATATTTAGTAAGATAATAAAAAATCCGATGATGAGAACACCTTCTATAGCAAAAAAAAAAAACATTTTTACATAAGCTTTAAATTGTTATGACTTCATTTTTTTGTTATTATTCGAGCAATCTTTAAATTTGATATGATTTCTTCTAATAAATCTACGATATATATTTGCAAAATTCTCTTAAAATTGGCATTATTATTCCATGGTATTTTTAAAATTAACGATTACAATATTTTTCACTACACTTTCTTTATATAATATATAACAAAATTACCGTTATAAATCCTTAATGATAAAAATGTCAGTTTTAACATAATGAATACGTCGAAGTGATTATATATATATATATATATATATATATATATATATATATCAATCAATCAATCTCTATCTTTTTCCATATCTTTTGAATAACAAAATTCGGTTATTCATAAATATTTTTATATTCCCACTAATCTCTACGTCTCTCTCATTCAAACAAATTAAATTTGTTATAAAAATAATAATAAAATTCTATATAATAAACAAAATTCATGACACTAGGTTCGCGACTCTCTAAAACCGAAACCGGTGATCTACGTTTATTTTATATGAATATATTTTAAATGTGCGTTTTTTTTGTTCATATAAAAGTAAACGATGTAAATATCAATGTCATCGTTATAAAAAATTAGGATATGATTCATAATAATAACATTGCTATTTATACTGTAATTTTAACAACATAGATCACAAGTAAACGCGCAAATAAAAACTTATAATATCAGGTACTCTGTTTCAATATAATCTAAATTTTTAACGATTGTTACGAATATAAAAAAAACGTCGGAACCTGGTACCATGATATACTTATCTCATATATATCTACAAATATATTAAATATTATTTTATCTTTGTTTATATATAATATACTATTCTAATTCTTGACTTCAATGCGATAAGTACTGATAAAAATTTCACTTAAAAAAATATTTATACTAATATAAAACCGGTAACATATAGACTATTTACATTTCCTAACTATTAGAAATGGCAACTAATGGTCGTTATCTCATTTAAAATACATATACAGAGATTAAAACGATCTTTAAATAAAGTAATATTTTTCATTTTAGGTAAATACACTTACCTTGATATCCAGTATACGTCTGCAGTATGTTGTCAGTTTTCAGCTACTGCAAATAATAAAGAGTACAAAAACTCATATTAAGACGTCGGTTAAATTGTCTTTGAAGTATTGATAACATACTTCTGATACTCGATTATAAATCAATTTGATTTAAATAGAAGAAATTCTTTGAAGAAATTCGATTCTATCCAACGCTGAAGTTTTGTGCAAAGCGTCAGAGTGTAGAAAACGTTTATAACGTTGAATCACAAATTTTGTCATATTTGTTGTAATTTGCCAGGGTTCTTGTAGAACCTCACAGCCTTGATAGAATAGTCTGAATATCATCAGACATCAAGATTTGAAGATAAAATACGTATATTTAGGTAAAAATATATAGAAATGTCTTGGAGACGACACTAGGCCTAAACTATGGAAACATCCTAAGTAATTGTTTTCAGATCTAATTGTCTTGTACATTTTTAAAAATTCAATGGCATAGGTTGCCTGAGTATAAGTTTTCAAATCTCTGTGCTTGTAGAATCCTTAGTGATCACTTCTGGTTGTTCTTGGTCATTTTTGCACATTCCTTTCTTGAATAATATTTAAAATGTTCTTCCATAATTTAGGTCTACTATCATAAATATTTCGCACTACTACTGCAGTACACAAATTTCCTCCATCTGTTTTTTACACTGGAGGTGGCCCCCTAACATAACGCAATTGTGGAGCCAAAGACATGGTCCAGGTGTTCATAGAATCGCAACAATGTGGTTCTAATAAGCAAGCAGCGCAAAATACTGCTACTAAAGCGAGCTGTAAAGGAAGAGCGGCCCTGGCAACGCGTTTTGCCCACCCTGGTCTGGCTGGTGTCGGGCTTGAACCAGGATCGTCGTCTGGACCACCGGCTGTACACAAGTCGCCCTTGGCGGGTTCTGAGAGGATAGTTACGGCTGGTACGGTTACGGATTGGGCTTGGCGCCTCTTAGTTTTACGCTTACCTCTGTGGGATAAATGTAAAGGTATTAGAAAATTTAAAAAATATAATATTACTAATGACAAAACTTCCGTCAAAATTATAAATGGTAATAAATGATTTAATAAAAATAGTCGTCAAAAACTGTTAATAAAACATTTCGTTAAGATGTATAAATACATTTTTAAGTAGAGCCAAAGAATTTATTTTTAAATGACACTATTATTTGAAATGACAAATTATTTTTAGTTTTTATTAAGTGCTGTGTATTAATAATTTATATAGACACTTGTGTAGGTACATCTTTTAAAAAGTGTATATAAATTTTAAAAATTTTGATTTTGGTCATTTTCTATCTTAAGTTTATAATTTGCGCACTATAAGATGTATTTCTATTATTTCCCATGAAGTATAATAAATAAAAATATCTGAATCATATTCATATTTTATACTCTATGTATGTTTTCAAAGTTGCATTCATATATTAAATCTGATTCGATGTATTAGTCTTTATAAAGCTTTACATCAAAATGTTTTACTGATTTATGTTATGGAGTTGTGTATTATTTAAAAAATATATAGCTTGACATATAGGTGTAAAAGAATATAAATTTCATCGCCGTTGACAGTTTTATATGTGGTGAAAGCTGTAACGCCAAAACTAGCACTTCTTACTATATATCGCTCAAAGTAATTTACTACAAGCTTAATAATCACAAAGCATATTGACAAAAAAAAATTTAAGATAACATTTTACTGCAATTAATTATCTAAGAATTAGCCATTATTGTAAATCAAGACACTTGAATCAAATAAAATCTATAATATAAAAATGAATCGCAAAATGAGTTGGTAAGCGCATAACTCAATAACTCCTGGACCAATTTGGCCAATTCTTTTTCTAAAATGGTCATTAAGGTCCAAGGATATTTCTTACGGCGAGAAAAAATTGAATAATTGCCGGAAAACCCCTAAAAACAGCCCTTTTCTTTTTCACATACAAACGTTAGTATTTTTATATTTTTGCCATCGGATACGGAATATTTACTCAAGTCAATGGAGCGTTTTGGGTCTGAATTTTTTTTACTGTGCTCCAACAATTCGTATGAAATTTTGAAATTAGTTTTATCTCATTCTCAAGTTCAAAAGTGAAAATAATTTAGACTCCTTTGCCATTTCCCGAGGGGGGGGGGGGGAGTGACATCCCTCTCAGTGCTATAATTTCATTTTCTTTTCAAAATAACTAATATCGATAAAAGAACTAATTATAAGAAAAAAATATTTTATAACGTTTTTCAAAAAAGCAAATACTCGTCATTTTATTTAAAGCAGTTGTACATTTAAGATCTATATGGGTGGATGTATATACATTTCGGTATAGACTGTAGTGTAAAAAACATAATAATTAACTAATTGGTATAAATATCAGTATAGGTTATTGAAAAAAATTGAATTGTAAACATAAGTACAGGACAACGTCTGTCGGGTCATCTAGCTAATAATAAAAAAATTACACCGCCTAAATCAAACTAATTAGCTATATATTATATTATTCCTTCAAATTCGCTAAAAATTTTGTGACTTATCAAAAAATCAACTAACCACTTAAAATTTTAGACCACTTTTATTTTCTCTTTTTAGCCTCGCTCGCGATGGAGCATTTAGCGCAGACGCATTATTTCAAATCCTATTCTATTAAAATTTTTACTTAAAATTATATCACATTGATCTTACATACATAACTTTCTGCACAGGTTTTAAACTAAGTATCTTGTGATAGCCGACGACATTTATTAACTTTTAGTATAAAATATTAGAAAATCATAATAAAATATTACTTATCATAAAAAATAATAAATATTACCCTAAGTTAATATTAGAATAATTCATTATAGGCAAATAATTTTCATCAGCTTTTGAATCCTTAGATAGACTAATTAATGAAAATAAATATATACTACTCACCCATTTGGTGATCGTCCCTGTGAAGAAGCATTCGAAGATCCATTGGAGCCACGACGCATATTCATATCGGCAGTGATGCGATGGACGGTTTCACCTTGAACTGCAGTACGTGCCACCAGCTCCCTGCAAGCCTGCTGCAGTGAACGCAATTCGCTTTCTGCTTGCTCCATTCGCTGAAAATTGAAGAATAAAATGATAATTTTAGATAATTACTGTTAATAGTAAAACTGATAGTAGATTATTAACCCTTTCGCTATGAGCATCGTCTATAGATGACATTCACTTGACTACCGATTGTCGTCTATAAACGATATATTACGCGTCGACCTTGCTTCAAGATTCATCACTATGAAAGACTATTTTGAATTCTATTTTTTTAATTCAAATACATTTTCTTTGATAATTATTGAAAAATCTTAAAATATGCCGTTATACTTGGTCCATAGCGACACGCTGTTCCGTACAGCAGAGACACTCCTGCAAAAAATACTCTTATAGCGAAAGGTACAAGAGTATACGTATGAGCAAAATAAATAATTTAACAAAAACCATATGAGTTCATATATGAAGTATCTTAAAACTTATAGACATATGTAGCTATTTGTAGATATCTGAATGTATTGTTAGATCTTTATACCCTTATTCTAGGTTCTCAATTAAGATACAGGATCATTGACTATGGATAATTCAGTATATAGCATTTCTCATAATCGGTTGTTCCATACGCCCGAAATCGTCGACGAAAAATTGTATCCACACATACACACTCACACACACATACACACATAGGAGAAAGTTCCGTAACGCCGGACGGCACCTAGCGCCGGACACTCTATTTACACACATCCACACATACATACATACACACACAATATGTATACATATTAACATATAATTTAACAAAAACCATATAAGTTGATATGTGATGTATCATAAAACTTATAAACATATGTAATTATTTGTAAATATCTGAATGTGTTGCTAGATCTTTGTACCCTTGTTCTACGTTCTCAATTAAGATACAGGATCATTGACTATGGATGATTCCGTATATAGCTTTTCTCATAATCGGTTGTTCCATACGCCCGAAATCGTCGATGAAAAATTGTCGAAAAATCCACACATACACCCACTCACACACACATACATACATAGGGGAAAGTCCCGTAACGCCGGATGGCACCTTGCGCCGGCACTCTATTTACACACATCCACACATACACACACAAACACACATGCATTTCCTCTAGACACTCATAGTGATAAATCTTGAAGTAAGGTCATTACCAAGCATGCCTAAAGGAGATACTCGTACCTCGTACACACAGCTTATGGATGTGACCTTTAGACGATGCTCGTAGAGCAAGGGCTAAATTAATCCTTAGTATACGTAAGTATCTTCTTAATATTTGCTTTTCTATTTATTTACCTTTGTAATAGCTAATAGAGCTGCGCTTCCCGGAGCCAGCGCCAGTTCCAGCTGCCTGTGCAGGCGACGCAGTGCTCCAAGTCGACGTTCGCGTTCGGAGAAACCCCAATCGGAACCACCGTCGGATATTCCTGAATCAGACAAGGAACCACCGTCCAAAGATACCTGAAAGATAAAAATTAATAATTAGTTTAATATTTTATATAATATTTATCGTATGCCTAAAAATATTATATGATATTATATGCATACTAATACGTTCCAAAGAAGGCAATTTAGAAGTTGACGACAAACGATTTTAACTCTTCTGCTTTTTACTGATTTTCACTTTTTCACCTAAATTATTGAACCATCCAAAACAGCTAAACTTGTAAAAATATTTCCAAAAAAATGTAGGAGAGATATTCAAATCAAGTCAGTCAGATCAAATTCTATAGATTTGATAAGTTTCTATGATCTAAATATTATCAAACTCACATTGGGAAAAGAGAACTTGCAGCACAATGCCATAAAAAATAAAGGGTGAAGATATTGTGACAAGTAAGGTAGACTTGGAAGCACTAAAAATGTTCCAAATTAATTGATACACAAAGACACATTCAAAGATGAAATAAGCACTCTCTCACAAAAGTATAAAAAGTCATCTCGGAGATCACCCAAACATGATCTTCAGAAAACTCGACCACAACGAGGTCCAAATTGAAAAGAAAATTCCTTCAACCATCGAATTTAATAAATAGAACTTTCGACTAATCACTGGCAATGTTCAGATAATTTTGTATTTTCCTAACGTTTTCAGAACTTTACCAAATGTTTTACTCGTTTTAACTATTATGAACAATTAAGAGAAATAGTCTTCCATCACGATTTTATCTAGGCAAACTAATAACGTATACCTATACGCAAATCAAAATACTACTAATCAAAACTTTATAATCACTAATTTCAAATTATATATGCACAGAGCATATATAACATGCCCATATCTAAAAAGCAGTATGAAAGCTGGTAAATAGAAAGTACGATTAGTTTTTTCATCACTTTTTATTGCAATCTATCTATTTATACAATTTATAGCAAAACGAATAGTTTATAAAGTGGTGTTCATGATTACAAATGCAAAACATAACCGTAAAGGTGTCGAACGGTACTCTTAAATCAGGTAAAAGCTCAGGTTAATATAGTACGAACAAAAACTAACAATAAGACTATAAGAGCATTGAAGTCGTAACCAATTCAATTATTTGTGCTAATGAACAGTTTCATTCTAAAAAGAAAAATCTGCAAATATCTTTAGTTACTCGTATTATCTGATGAAGGTAGAGACTTATGATCAATAATTAAAGTAAACACTCTAAATTAATGCTCTAAAATATACTTGAACTTGCACCCATTATTCGTAAAAAAATTGCAAAATATGGGTTCCTTAAGACTTTTTATACAAAAACGTATTTCAAGTTACAATTTGAACAAATCAATATTCCCACGATATAAATTTGAGTAATAGTTATCAAATCAATAGCAAAACCATCCATCATATTACCTATGAAATACGCGTTTTCAGAGGTATATCATTTCGAAACAAAAAACTGTTATATATAGTACTATAAGTTATTATATAACATTATATTTTATTATATGTAATTATCACAAAGAATTATTTATTATTATAGAAAATCTTATAAAAATAAATTATAACATTCACAAGTACAAGAGGTAAAATGTAGCGTAATGAATTGGAAGCATGAATAAAATATATTAAAAATTTTATGATCTCCTGACAAGAAAAATAATGAAAATAAAACAAGTATTTTTACACTTCCTCGTTATAATTGTTTTCTCGATTTAGTGTTAAAAATTTGAACATAAATCCGACGTTTCTATCTATATACATTAGTATAGAAAATTAAACTATTGGATATTATTGGAATAATTGAATATTATAAAGTAAAAAAAAACTTACAAAAAAAATTATAACATTCACAGGTACAAGATGTAAAATATAGCGTAACAAATTGTAATGGTTATTATTTGTCAATTGGACAAAATGGATGGGTTATAAAGAAGCAACTGAATATTTACCCTGGCTAAGTGTAAACAATCAAAAATAGAAAATAAAAAGTAAATTGAGTTGAAAAAAGCAATTTTACAAGAGATAAATTAAATAAATAGTTAACAATCAATCAATCAATCAATCAATAGTTGCAAACTCTGCTGATGAATATTCATGACAAAATGCCAGATCAAGGTTATATACAGTGTTCTCCCTGTAAAAAATGATGAATAAAAAACCCATATAGTTTATATTTTTATCGGTTGAACAATGCAACCATTATTTCGTATAATCACTTTAAATTTAGAAATAAGACATTGTACCGGGTGCCCCTCTGGCCGTCCCTTTTTACCCCGCTTATAGGTGACAAATTTTTGAAACAATACATAGTGTTTTGAAATACATAAAAAAATACATTTCTGCAATGATGAATTAGCTAGAAGTTTCACTGGAAATAGTCAGATAGTTGTTTTTTTGATATGTGTTATTACTTGTGATATAATTCGTTTGGATTGCACAAGATAATTTTGCTTACTCAAATTCGACCTTTGTGTCTGCCCAACCATATATCATATATAGAAGATCAAAATAAATACATGGGCAAATTCAAACTAACTTGTAAAATTAGCTTGAAATAAAAATACATTTTATTATTTACCGCAATATTATTTTGAATATTATTCAAAAATCTTATTTGTAAAATTTTATTAAATATATCATTCTCGTGTATTCAATTATCTAAATTTTTATTTATCCGTACAAGAAAATTTCTACCATAAAGATGTTATTTTCAACAAAGAAACTAAGTCAAACATCTATCCTCATAAAATATCTCGTACTTCTTTTTCCACAGCTATATATCTCTTTAAGATTTACTCTAAATGCAAATCAAACCGGATGCGTTCCAGGTTCCGCTCTTTCCATTTCCTGATTTCCGGATTTTCCGCTTTTCCGCCGTCTCGAGACTAAGTGTTATTTGTCGCCTTTGGAAGTCAGGTAGAAATGGGTGAAATACTATAGGGGATGAATGAAACATCCCCAATAATGTTTGATTTTGAATGTGGGTGATATTAAGTAGAGTAAAGCGAAAAAATAGAAGTATTACAAGAGTTATTACTAAGTTTTTAATAAAGATAGATATGGAAGATAATATATGGAAGGGGGGGGGGGGGGGGGGGGGTGATAAGTATGGGGAAAGATATGGGTGTTTCCTGGCGTAACGGTTAAGCACACTGCCCGCTCTGAATAGGTTAGTATCGTGCAGTAGTGATATCAATTTTTACTTGAAAATATACATATAAAGAGATTATAAATATATATATATATATATATATATATATATATATATATATATAGCTTGGAAATATATATATATATATATATATATATATATATATAATAGATTTAAAATTATGTTTCCAAATGAATATAACCTAATTGGGCACTGCAAAGTGAAATTGGAAAATCTCTCACACTATTCTTCCTTGAATCACGAACCTGCCCTAGGGCAGAACTGCCCAATATTGTTATGACATATATGTTTTTATAATTTATTTTATTTGTAATGTAGTCACTAAGCAGAGTAAAAATTTATTTTCATAATTGATTTTATTTTTATCTGTCACCAAGATAAATAGCGATATATTTCTATAATTAAATTTATTTTATTATAGTAAAAATATAAACTAGAAACTATTCTTGAAGTCACAATGTCGTTTAAAAGTTAAATAACTTGCATTCAAGTCATGTTGACATAATTTCATATAATGTAGAACTTACTTTTTTTCTTATATTTATTTTTACTAATTAATACATAAATCTAATTAAATTTATCTGAATGAGCTGGATGATATAATTATTTTCACTGCTTCATATTTAATTTCTTTTAAATTAGTCTAAATGGCTAATTATAAAACATCTATTTTTACTGAATTATATTTATTTATTTTTATATTAGTCTAAAGAAGTTTAGTTGAAAAAAGTCTAAAAATAATTACTTTTACTGTTTTTATTTATTATTACGTTTTTATTTAATTTCTCTTAAAATAGTATAAATATAATAATTGTACATATTTTGGTTTTGCATTTAGCATTTTATTTAACATTTTGAAGTTTATTAAGAAAAGTAAAATTAAAGTAAAAAGATCAAATTGCACTAAAAAACGAACATAGAAAAAATAATTTGACCTGATCCATTTTTTAGTTTAATAGCATTATTGTTATATTACCTCTGAAATTTCAAAAAATTTAGAATTGTGTAGCTATTTTCCTAATTTTTGGTAAATTTAAAATAAAGACTATATTATTTTCAATGACGCGAAATAATTAAATTATTTATTTCAGTGATGCAAAACTATTTTAAAGTTTAAAAAGTAATAACTCGCAAGTTTTTAAAGACTAATTTCTATTTCTTACTATAATTTCGAAAATTTTCTAGCTTTTAATAAATACGTAAATTTTTGTAAGTTCAATGAGTTCTGTTTATAATCATGGCAATTAAATTTATTTTTGAACTAAGCGAATATAATTTTCCTCAAACACAAATTAAATATCGGAAATTCTAGAAATAACTTTTTTATTCCAAAATTAACTTTTTTTTATATTACTGTATACTGTAACTGTATACGATTCGCCATATAAAAAAGGTTAATAAACACATTAGCATTGGATAAATTTACAAGTTAAAAGCAATATTTGATTAATAGATTTGTCTATCCATTAAAATGGTGATGATGTTGCAAACCGTGTTTTAATTATGATTTAATAGCTAACACATGCATATTAATAATTAGTGGCATTTCAACAGATAAAAATAGATTTAATGATTCATATGAATCGCGTGAAGTAAATATTATATGGAATAAGTAATTTAATTAAGGATAACTATATAATAACAAAAAATGCACATTGTTTAGATTTTTTATGTTCCAAAATTTTTATCTTCTTTTCTTCTTTTTACTTTTTAGTTTTTCAAAAGTATGAAATATACAATATGCAATTGGTAGGAATCAAAAATGTGACACTTCCTTACAAATGTGAAAATTGAAAAATAGTAAATGAAATATTAAAAAATTGTTTAATAGAAACAACAATAGTAAAAAAAATGATCTTAATCGAAGGATTGAAGAGCCAATTTTCCAGTAAAATAGACAGTGATATAGCGTTATTATGGCAAATTGAGTAACTATTTTCTCCATATAAAATGGTACTGAAAACTGTCAAAATGCTTTTGCGTGCAGACAGGCGTTGCCATAAAAACGCTAAGTTACGGTCTATTTTACAGGAGAATTGGCTCCTGAATTCTGAAATAGTTACCTTTTGTAAAATATGTCAGTATAAAATTGGAAATTATTAACTCCTCGAAAAGTAAGATATTGTAGCTAGTTAAGAGAAATCAGAAATACAAAAATTTTGGATATAAAATTCCCAGAAACTAATATAACATTAATAACATCTAATAATCTTATTCAGTTTTAAAAATATATAGACAACTCACTAATAATAAAGTCAACTCACTAATGTCAAATATTAATTTGCCATAAGACGTCACAATTAAACACTATTTCCAAAGAATTGCAAACAAAAAACACAACTATATTTTTAATCTTTTTTCTCAAAATAAAATGAGCTAAAATATTTAAATCGAAATCCGATGAATCAGATTTCTTTTAAAGAAGTTCACTGCGCTGTTGCTATAAATCACTTGAGCATAATCAGGCACCACTAAAAGTCAAACGAAACATGTTAAGCAAGTTTTTTTCGAACCCAGTGATTCTCAAACTATGAACCATTATCAAAACTAATGTTAATTACATATAAATATATATTTTTTGAATTAATATAACTTTAATTTTTACACACTGAATTTCATTATAAATAAGTTTTTCATTTCATTGATAATTTAAAAAAAATGAGGCGCTATAGTAATTACAATTATTATATTATTTATAATATACATCTATTTATAATTATGTAAGTGTGTGGTTTCCAACCTGTGGAGCGCGCCTTCTCATGGCGGGCGCAAGGCTGTTTCCAAAACACTATTTTCAAAAATAAACCCAACATTTTGAAAAGATATGAAAAAAAAAACAAAAAAAATTTATCTTTTATGCATATTTTTACATAATATTGCATATTAATTTGTAGTCTAATAATATCAGTTGAGTATGGATGCAATGAAATTTAAAAAAAAATTAAGAGGAGTGTCAATTTTGTTTATTAGAACGGGAATCGCGTTACAAAAGGGTTGGTAACCACTGATGTAAGTATTTACATTTATCAGTGGTTTTCACTACAAACATGAGAATTTAAAATATGAAATAAAGTCATTTAAAATAGTGAATAAAACAGCAATTTTATTTAATTTTTGTATAGTATAGGCTTTATTATAAAGTTAATTACTTTTATTAATTCTTTTAAACCTCACTAATATAGTGTCAGGAAAAAACTATATTTTAACTAGGTATAAGTGGCATTTTACCTTAAAGCAAGTTCCAAAAACTCGATATGTGAGAATGAAAGACTTACACGATAAAAAGAAAAAGGGTTTTTTTCAATTTTTAATAAAAATAATTAATGTAAATCTCAAATGACACTAAAATAGTTATGTGAAAATATATATTATTTAAATTTAATAAATAAAAATTAAACAATTTTCTTGTAGCTCTCAAAAAGTCTACTATAAAACATTAAATAATACTTCACGTATTATTTAATGTTTTAGAGTAAACTATTACATTTTTTTGAGTCTTCAAAATAATTTGATATTTTTTACATTTCTTTCTTTTATTAACTATTATTTATATTTAGTTCATATTAAGTTTCCTTTCTTATATTAAATGTTATTTATATTTAGTTCATTTGAAATGAAATTAAATTTGTTTAGATTAAATTTAATTAATCTAAAAATTAACTCACAATTAAAAAATTCTCAAAAAAAAAATTCTAGAGACAAAAATATTAAACTAAAATCAAAAATTGAGATTTAGCTATTAGAAAAAAAAACAGTTTATCGGACAATCGCTACAAGTCCTTATATCAAATTTCATCGAATGGTTTTTATATTTTTAAAATCGGTGCAGAAGTTTTTGAGAAAAATTGTAATAATCTACTGTAGTTATTTAATTATCAATTAATCACTATTATAAAATAGTTTTTTTAATACTTATCTAAGTTCCGTCTAGACTCTAGATAATGGTAACTCGTAGAATATTGTTTGAAAACAAACCAAAAACATATCTACATAAAACAATGATTGATAAAGTCTAACATACCACAGCATTTGATAACAGTTTTAAATAAAACAAATCAAATATTTCACAAATTCCAACAAGCTTGATTAAAACTTTCTCAAACCCGGTTCACAGATTGTAATCAACTGGAATCGCATACATTAGCATGAATATTATTATTGGGTTTTTCGAACAGACAGACAAAGACAATAATCAGTATAGATTCATGTATTGAATCATACAAACGACATTAGAATTGATTCATTCAACGACATTTGGTAATATTCCAAAGTTTATTTATTAAAATCGATAACTATTCGATTGTTTTAGAAATATATATTCGATCGATGGAATTGGAGTCAGGAATGTAATTATTTACAAAATACTAATTTAAAGACAGTTGATGTTTGATTTATGATGGCTGTGAAGTTAATTTGTTTAGTGATTGCATTGTGTGCGATTTTGGATTATTGTCAGTCAGACATAGCAGGTATTTTTAAATAACAATAATTGTAAAGAATATAAAACATATATTAAATGATAAAATTTTAACTCAATAATAAGTTAATGAACTTCCAAAAAAAGTTTATAATTTCGCTAGAAAATTCATGTTTTATGTCGACATTTCAAGTCATTCTGTATCGCTTGCTCATCACTCGCAGTTTCACCAAAACGGCCCCACCATTTTCAAAAATTTTAGACAATTGCTCAAACTTCTTAAGATCAAAATTATTCCAAAGTTATCAATTGCGATAATTTAGCAATTCAAGCCGTTTCTTGATAATTAAAAAACAAAGGAATAAATTATTTTTTCCAATTTTTTTTTTAAATAATATTTAACACTGTTACCACACAATTATAATATAGGTTCTGGTTTACTAGCTCGAATTACAACAGTATCACAAAATATTACCAAAACTATAAAATAGGAAAGTAAATAATTTAAATCGATTGTTTTTTTGTAAAAATGTAGAATGATATTAAACAATAAATGAACTAAAATTATAAATTCTGAAATATATTTTTTTATTATTTAAAGTGATGATTAAATACCCAAGTCATTATACTATATCATATTTATCATATCGTATCTATACCAGTACATTATACAATCAAAATCATGTATAGATAACCACTTGTTTTAACCACCGTTAAAACTATTTTTTTTTAATTTTTAGACGAGAAATTTATGAGAATATTATAAAATATATACTCATATATATATATATATATATATATATATATATAAATTTAAATATTATAAATAATAATGCAAAGCGTATAATTACCGTAATATGAACTGTTTAGTCATTTGACCTTTATTGTTTCCATGCAAAATGCATTCTTTATAACAAAAAAATGTTATTAACGTCAACTATTTCAATATAGAATTAATGTTCTGCATGATATCAAATAAATATACAGAGTAACTTTTAAATTCAGTCTCATGATCAATCGAATTATTTCTAACCATAAAAAGTTTCAAATTCAATTTTTAAATAAATTATGGATTATATAAAGATTACGTTTTGTCTATAATCATTACTAGCCACTGTTAAAATTTAATGCAGGTGCACTTAATATTTTTGATATAGAGAAATTAATGTGAGCCTAGAGTATTATACAGACCGGCATCCAACTTTTTTTTTAAGCTTTTTATAATTTCCAGTCATTTAAGCAGGAATTTAAAAGATAGGCAACTTGAATGACATTATTTTCTTAACTAAAAGGATTATACTTTCTAATAAAAATATTTTTATAGCATTTTGAAAAAAAAAGAGTATTTTCCGAACGCCCTGTATTTTGTTCCTTGTATTAATAATAATGATTAAAATTAATTTCACATAGAAGTAGAGTATATTATCGCCAAAAAATCCGATATGCTATTCAAAAAAAATATATGAGAAAACCAACGAAATTTAGCCTAATTGCATTTAATTATATCAGTTTCAATATATTTTTAATAAAAAGCTATTAAATAAAAATCATGGCTCGACATGCAACCTCAATACTTATATAATAAATTGTATAATTTATTAACAAAAAAAACGTGTACAAAAACTGATAATTGTGAAACGAACGTTATTGTCAACTTTTTCTTTGATCTCGAGCCAAAATGTCAAATTGTTATTATGCAACACGATTATACGAGAATTCAGTACCAAAGGATGGCAAAAACTATAATAATAATTTATATAATTTCTCCATTTGCAAAAATATGTTCTACTAGGTTGTTAAAAGCTATTTTGTAATCGATGTTATACAAAATTACATTCAACCAATCTTGTTAAAAAAAATCTAAAAGAAACGTTTCAATTGAGGCTTACAGCTTTGTTCTATATTTTCACTAAATGCGGGGGACGTTTGATTAATAAAACTAAATTATCCCTCAGTTATTCATGGTTGGTGCATTTAAGGTTTTAAAAAAATATACATATTTTTTCTGAATTTGTGAATCTTCAAAATTAAAAATACACAAATATAATGAGAATAGTAGGTATTTAATAATGAAATTGTTAGGTACTTTCATTTTATCAAAAAAAGTAAAAGTACATTTTTGAATAATGATGTAGAAGCTGTTACTTTATAGTTTTTTCTAAACTGATCATCATCTAGTATGCATTTACCTTTCAAAATCTAATCTGAGAATTCAGAATTATTCAATATAATTGCAAAAAAAACGCAAACCAACGATTTGCAATCAACGTCACATATATCACATGAAGATTATTTTGAATTAAGAGAAATATTCAAAGGCATGCTAGTTAATAACGTATAAATTGTATATTTTTAACTTTATAAAATATCCAGAAATCCCAAAATAATAAAACCAAAAATTTTCATTGTAAACGTATGAAACAAAGTTTGGGTTTGTACGAATCACAATAGAATATATAAAATCGAAAAATTAATATTCCTTTATCCTTGGAAAGGTTTAAACTTTAGACCCACCTTCAACTCATTCATGCATTCACAACCAAATTTAATATTCTGATCAAATGTTATCTGAATATCAAAGGCCAATAAACTAATAAATAATTATGTGTATTCATGTAGAACTGCATTACGAGAAGTGTTCATTCATCCACATCTCAAATTGTATCGTTAATTAAGACTATTTGAAGTTCTATCATGGTAATTTGATACTTATTAAAATAAATTTTATTTTTTAACAGTCATTGATTTTCTTAACTAAACTGCATGACATTACATTTTAAAGTCCTCACTTTTATTTAAATTATGCATGTCCAAATTTTCCGGATATTTACACAAATATCTGTACTGACATTCAAGAACACTATATTTTTATTCAATAAGATTAAATTAAAATAAGTGTAAACATAAACGATGATAGTGATTTATAAATTTTAATGGTTCAGCTGAGAATTTGCCAACTTGCTTGTTTTTTATGTTGAAAACATCCGTCTTACTCATTTATAAAAGCAATCTAGCATATTTTTTTATATTTTTGGTTTAGTATGAAAAAACCTTGAACCTGACAATGTAGCTGAAATAATTTTTCGTATCCACAAAAAAAAATCAATTAAACTCATCATTGACATTTCTTCAATGATTATCACATAAATATTATCAGGATGAAAGGCCTTAGTTCTCAAAATTGATCTAAAGACCCATTTTACTGGAGAAAATTAACACAAAAATCGAGTTCTGAACCAGAAAAAAAATCCATTATGCAATTAATTTATGTGGTAGAATTCTACGTAGTGTCTAAACATAGATAAGCAAGTATAAACTAATTTTTTATCTTCTTAATGAATTTATGAAAATTTTCGTAATTTTTGCAAACAATAACTTTTACTACCAGAAAGTCAAATATCAATAATTATCGGCATCATAACAATTTTTGTTAAAATCAATACTGCTTTATTTAGTATAGAGAAACTTTTATAAAAATATAATAGATTTAAGTCAAGAAGATATACAATTTTAAAGGTGAATTTTAGTTTGAAATAAAAATATAAATATTATATTAAGTGGATATGCACTTGGTTATCAAAGGTACTGGAAAGTCTTTGAAGAGCTAAATGTAATATATTTTTAAATTAAAATTAATTTTACAAAAATTTATTTTTTTAAGGTGACATTACAAAAATGTATAAATAAATGATGATGGCTAGTGTATGGAATTTAATATCAGGACTTGGTCATGAATTCGCGAACCTGTTACTACTTGTTTAATGCCCTCGACGCGTCATCTTGTTTTTATAAACAAGATTATAATTATATTTGTAATCCTTCTACTTTTCTTTGTTTGATGTTGATTTAAATATAATGTCAAAAGTAAAAGTCAAGACTTCTAATATTTATATGCATCTAAAACACCAAAATAACTATGAACATTTGAGCCAAATTGGAGCTGCCTCATCATCTTTCTAGTTTTCGCGAACCTATAAAACGACTTGCCAAAATAAACTTCAATCTAAAAGATCATATAAAATCTCAACAAATTGCTGATTTTTTGCGGCTGGAGACAGATAACAAATGATTTATATAAAAAAATTCAATTTACATGTCTAACCATCTGAATAGAATTTTACATCTGAATAGAATTTTACATTTTTATCTTGTTATTAAGTTCTCCAGGACTTCAAAGATTAAATTCCAAAAATATAATATTTGTTATAATCATGTAGAATATAAATCTCACCCTGTTAATTTTTAAGCATTGCAAAAATTGATAAAGCAGAAATTTATTTATTATTTTTATTTATTTTATATTTGTGCCCATATTAATGTTTTCATATTTTCATAGCAGTTCGTCAACCCAAGTAAAGATAAATGAGTGGAATTCTTGACAAGTCCATTTATATATCAAATATCTAATTCATTTTACATACCAAATATTCTAATTCACTTAAGCTAATAGAAGACTAAATCTAAAAAACGAAAGCTTTTAAATACCATCCGTTCCATGTTAATATAACATTAGAAATAATTTCTAATGTATTTTACTACTGGAAAGTTATTAAAATCAACTTTGTAACTATCTTTTCTCCATTAGCTTTAATCGAATATGAATAATTTATATTATTGATAGTTTTGAATTTATATTCCTAGTCATTTCCTCAAATCGAAAATAAAATTAATTTCTCGGATTTAAAATTATTTTATTTCATAGCTATATGTAATAAATAAAACCTTTGGCATAAAATCGATTGATTTCCTAACTTTTAATAACTTATAAGTTATTTTAATAAAAAAAACTAAAAAAATACAATTATGCAAATTTGAATACAATGTTACATAGACACCAACGTAAATATGATTATCTTTATGTAATTTTCATGCGAAAACATGATTCCAGACTAATTTAGAAAGCTCTCCTCCATTAAAAAAATTGTTTAATTAAGAAAACCACTGTTACTTGAGTGCATTACCGATCTTTTGACAAAAAACATTTAAAAAAAACTCTTGGCAAAACATGAGAAACCGGTATAGGTAGACAGACCATATGTCAATATTAAAGCT